AGCACTGGCACAGAGGTCCCAGAGAACCAGCCTGAGTGTTAAATTCAATTTTTAAGCAAGCCAGAGGCTTTCCCATGCCATCCATTCAAAGGTATTTTTTGGAATTAGGAGATGTCTGGTAAAGACAAAAGTTGCTTGTTAAGACATTCTTTCATAGAACATGACTATTAAAGCACAAATTAAAAAGCCAAAGGTATATATATAAAAAAACCCTACTTTCAGATGTGTAGCGCATACATACACTTAGGAAAAAGTCTCAGGAAAGTTGTAACACTTACTATCTGCTCTTACATTGACCTCTGCTTCAAGTCTTTCATTTCCTGCTTTGTGCAGCATCAGACACACCAGCATAACCCTCCACGATCACTTTCCTATTTTTGTTGCAGGCATCTAATTGCTCTTCTGGGTGCATTTGTGGGACTCTTGGTTTTAGATTCAGTTTAGATGTAAGTTGTTCTGGGAAATCCACAGGGAAGGAACTGGCATTTTTGTTTGTACGCGTAACAAATACTCAGCAACAGTGAGATTTCTGGTGAAGGCTGCATCTACCGCATCTATGGCAAGGGAAAATCTTCCCCTTCATCCCCACAGAATCAGAGCCAAAAGGGGAGAGGAAAATAAAGGCCAAATTCCTGTGAAGTTTCTACTGTTCACAGGCAGCATCAGGATGCCAAAGGTCTGCAAGAGGACTGGGCACTATGGGTGTATGTGCACGCACATGCTTCGTGCACACCCCAAAGCAGTGTTTTCAAATCCTCATAGTGTGAGTTGAGCCTCTTGAGCCACCCTTCAGGGCAGGGTGCCTGGGTCTGCTCCATGTCCTCTTCTGACTGCCAATATTACCAACCAGAACTGCTTGGTTTTCTATCCCAAGTTACTATCCTTGACAGACGTACAGGTAACTGGGGTGAGTAGGTGAAACGCAAAGAAAATAACACTAATCTTTCCTCGAGTTCTTACATGAAAGGTGACCCAGATGCATACAACGAATGATTATTTTCATGTTTTCCTTCCATGCTGTGATTTAGCTCAACATCTACAAAAGGAGTTCTGTATGCTTGGTGAATAGGCACCATGAATATGCTGCTTTATATGCTTGCTTTCACATCCTCTGCATGCTTGAAAAAACAAAGTCAGTGAAAGAAAGGTCACCCCTTATTTTCCCTTCTTGGTAGAAAATGACATTCCATTTCCAAGAGATCCTTTCTCTCACTCAGAGTTTTTTTTTTTTAATTCAATAGGGTCCCATCACCTTATGTCAACACTCACAGCTTCTTGATGGCACCAGAATGAAAAGTAAGGACTGACCACTGACAAATCCTGCAAGGGCTCAGCTGTCTGTTACCAGCAATGGCAGAGGAAAGCATGAACTGGGCTCAGATCTGGGCCAGGTGCACTTCTGGTTTGAACAGCTCAGAGTTTGGGACTGTGGTCTAATCTACTCAAGAATTAGCTAAGGATCTGTATAGTACAGTCAAAATCCCTAACAGAACCCAGATTAGAACTGAATTTCCCTGAATCATCTTCACAGAAAAAAACAACAGCTAATTAGTTCAGGAAAAAGAATGTCATTCTAAAACTCTACTTCATTTATAGAAGAAAAATAAACAAAGCAAGCAGAAAAGTAATAACAAAGACAACTACATGGCTCACCTTATCCTAGTATGCCCAGCTCTGAAGCCTACCAACAATGCCCCTATAAGCAAACATCAATAGTGGGCAACACAATACATCCTTACAATACTAGCTCACAATGCCAAGGTCTATGGGATTGATGTGACTGGGGCAGGGGTTAAAGACTTTCTGAGAGTAGAAAGACATCTCTAGAGAGGGGAGGTGATGCTTGATGTGAAGGAAAAACTGCTAAAAATATACGTTGTGCAGATTAGCCGTAATTGTCACAGTCACAACTTTGAGTTCTCATGTTAGACAAATTAGTTTGGCTGTCAGCAGCTTCATCAGCCCAAAGAAGCCATTTGGAAGGACCAATGACTACTCTCCAAAGCTGGCTGTGCCTGCCTCATATTGCAGGGCCCCACAGGGGTTATTCAGTGATGCTGATAACTCCAGTGGGAGCACCAATCCCGCTAAGTAGTTCACTGTTTAATTGAACTGACCTTTCCTGATGGTGCCCCATGTATTAAAAGCTGCTTCACTCCCAAGTGAAAATGGTTCAATAATTGTAATATTTTACTCAGTGGACAGTTGTTTAAGAGCAGAAAATAATCAGCTCCGTTGGTAGGCTCTCCTCTGGAGGAGTCCAGCACCAAATCAACAGAAGGTGCTGCACGAGTGAGTTCTATCATCAATAATAAACACACCCCAAAGTCAGGTTAGATTATGAGCTCTTTGAGGATATTTAGAGCTAACATTTTCAGTATTTTTTTGAATGCAGAGACCATTTGTCTTCAGATATTGAATGGCCTTGGGATGCAGAGGTTTCAAGTGAGAGGCATGTTTGTCAGGGGCCCTTTCTCCCTGTTTTCTTCTAGTTGTCTGACCAGATTTATCTCTACTGCCTTCTGTGTTGGCCTTCATGGTTGTACAGCATCTGGGAGAGCTCTCTGGGGCTGGGAGCCAAGGTTACACAAAAGCACCACATCCCTGTAGACTGTTAAACACCTGATAAAAGATGATGCTTTGTTATCAATTCACGGCTATCAGGTAGTCACTAGCCTGATGTGCACTGGGCTCTGCTGCACCTTCCCCTTCCCAATGCTTTAATTTTCAATGCTTTTTATACACAATTGACATTCTGAGGGTCTCCCAGGTCTGCCCATGGGCTAAAGTGCAACATCACTTTGTCATATTTTCCAGCTCAGAAGCTGCAATTTCCTTTTCTCAGTCCAGCCAACCCTTTTCTCATAGTCTTAGTGTCCCTGCATTGCAGACATTCAAAGAATGTCCTGTTCAGTAAAGTAATTCTTTTCTTGTCCCTTATTCACAAGGACATTTAAGTTATTTTCTTCCATGCTAGGCCTACACAGGACAGGACAACACTTATATTTCCTCTCCCACAGCGGACTGTTTTGACTACTTGCGTCTGGTTGAATCTCTAGGAATGTGGGATGTGTGTGAGCTCAGCCTCCTGGTGCCAGCATGCCGAGATAAGGCAGCTGGGCTATTGCCTGCTGCAGGTCTGTGAGACAACAGAGTTCCCAAGGTGGCAATGCTGATGGGCGGAGGTACCAGGAGGGTACCTGAGAGACTCAGGGGCACCTATGTGGGCTGTCATGAAGTGGAGGTGTGAACAGGAGTGGTCCCTCTCCAGGTGAGGCAGTACCAGCCAATGTTGTGCCAGCTTCCAATGGGGCACTAGGCATGCTGGCAGTGTCTGGTTTATCTCTGCTTCTTAGCTATCTGTTCAGGCAGTCAGAAACAGCTAGCTTGGCCTTTGCAGAGCCACCAGAGCCCACCGTGATGCACAAGAAGGTGACCAGGGTTCCCCATCACTATTGTGGCAGACTCTTTCTCTGAGATGATCATAGCTGGGCCTGAAAGCCTACCTCTGCCTTGTATTTCTGTTTCAGAGAACCAAAAGAGATGAGTTGAGGACAGCAGTCAACATAAAAATACTCTGAAATAAAATTAACCCAAGGAGCTAAAATTGCAGTCTAACTGCAAGAGCTCTGGCCTGATTTCATCAACTCCCCTTTGAACGGCAATTACATTGTAAACTGATCGGTTCAAACCTAAATCCTCAGTGTCTTCTTCTGATTAAATTCTCATTGCCTAAACATCCATCTTAGTCTCTCTTCTTCTACTTATCAATTGAATTAATTCCTCCATTATTCACCTATCTTCTTTAGCCAGCATTTTACCATCATCTTTTTTTTTTTTTTTTCAGGCAATGTAAATTTGCAGAAGTTCTAGTTCACTACAACTGCAAAGCAAAATAAAATACATTTTAGCTAGAATGTCTTTATACTGCACTGTTTCTCAGATTTAAAAAGAACATTTATGTTGTTTGATATTCACAGGGGATTGCCTTAAGACTCTGCGCACATTCCTTCTACGCGGGCCCTAAGGAGCAGGATTGCATTCAGGAAAATACAGTATTTGATGCTGGTTTGAAAAATTCATTGCCTAACCTTGTATAAGTGGTCCTCAACATCTCCCCTGAGATGAAAATATTTTGTTAGCAGAGTATTTTGAAGAACTGCCCTTGAACACCAATTTAAAGAAAATACAAGAACAAGGATTCTTTTCATTTGTTGTTGATTTTACTACATGCTCTTGATAAAAATGATTTTAAGGAGAATATCTGTTAATTGTGTCCCTGTTAATATTTGCCAAAAGATTCATTCTTCCTTTTTAAGCCTTTATAAAATGACATTTTCACTTTTTCAGAAGGTTATGCTGTTTTATCCTAGCTCGTAGTGGTTTTTCACAGATTATCTATTTTCCTAAAGGCATTTTCTGTATATAGTTTATCAGTAAAATTTCCCTGATAAATACGAGGCCCATAGGAGGGAAGGATTAAGCTCACTGCATTGCTTACTTTCCTAACGTTATCCTAAGGCACTGTCTGCAAGACAAGTTTCTAGTTGTGTTTGAGGAGATGCTGCGTTTGGGGTTTGGTTGGGAAGATATAATTAGCTATAAATGAATAAATGATAGAGCAAGTGTATTAATAAGAATTTTTATATGATATCAGCCATTCTGAAGATGTGACAGACTGTTGACAGGGGGTACAGAGAGCCCAACTGAACTTTATGGCACTCTTTCATCTTTGCTTTCTCTGAAACTTGGCTACAGCTCGCTGCGCCTTGCAGACTTGTAAATTTCAGAACATTTGTTCCCAGAGGAGCATTAGCCTGTAATAGCTGATAGATTCAAAGAAAATATCATTTGCCCAGCTTGAATAGATACCCTCAAAGTCACTTCCAACCGTGCCTCTCTCCTTTTTCTTACAAGTGAGCAGTGACAATGTGATAGTGGAATATCATGGTAAAACTGAGAGTTTTATTAGCAGTAGTTCCATAAAATCAAAAACAAACCTGTGCGTCTTCATATGTGTATCTCCCTGGGTCTTTGACATTTTGGCTTGTTTTCTCGTAGCTGTGGGAATCCAGGTTGATAGCACTCTGGGCCCCAGGAGCTAGAAACTCTTGCCAGATTTCCTCCACTCTGGTGGTCACGTCCTGTAGAGGTTGTTTTTTGAGATCTTGGACAGCCAACCAAAATCTATAGTGGGCAAAAATAAAAATGGGAGAGACTTTGTAAGATAAGAGGAGATAAGATTTTATCTTTAGATACAATTTTGATGATAAGCCTGGGCAGAGTCCCAAATGGCAGCTGAATTTGCAGAAGGCTCTCCATTTAGCATGACTTTGGGGGAAGGTGTGATATACTTTACACCAAACCATTACAATGTGGTTAGGATCAGAAAAGTGACTTTAAGAGGCGAAACATCATTATTCAAACCATCTCTGCAGAAGTGTGACATTAGGCAAGCAAGCAGGAAACCTCAAGAGCCCATGCAGCTGGAGGAGGAACACAAACTGCTTTCCACCACCCTGCTGCAATCTGTTGGTAATTTCTGCCTGCAGGATCTGTTGTCTGTAGAGGATGCAAAATGCAGAACAACAAACTTAATATTCATATCATTTCCAGGGTGAAGTTGTGGCACTGGCATTTAGAAGAGTCTTCTCTTCTTTTCTTTTTATTTTTGAGACTTGTAAACTGACCATTATTCAGATGGATGCCATGAGAAAGGATGAATACAGAACCCAGTTATGCCCATGCCATTGTGCTCTGCAGGGAGAGCCAAGGTCACTGCTTGTTTAGGGCAGCTGAAAGAGCTTGCACAATACTGAAAATCATGTGTCCCTCACTTTTAATTATGGAAGACTACCAAATAAATGAATTGAACTTTATCTGAAAGCCTCATTTCCCATCTCAAATTATTCATTGATGCCCTGCCTGCTAGCACTAAAGCAAATGCTCCCTCATGTTGGGAGGAAGATGAGGCAACCTATTCTAAGCAAAACCCTGAGGGCAGCAAGGGAGGTTGGAGGAGCCAGCAGTCCCTGTGACTCCTGTGCTACTTTGGTCCCTGGGCTAGCTGCCAGCAGGGTTTCCTGGTGCTGTTGCAGAAACAAGGGGGGATCATCATCAAAGGAGGCTGCCAATCCATTTAGTTTTGTCCCGTACTTGCAGTAGAGGAAAAGGGCCTGTTTGGGAAAAAATAATTGAAAATTTTTAATTGCAGACATGATGGTAACTTGCAAATGCATGAAGAAGAAAGATGCTAATCAACCCAGAATAGCTGGGACATTTTAAGACGAACACTTGGCTAGACAGAAAATGTTCAGTCCTGAGAACCTGGGAGCTGGGCTGGGAGCAGGCACAGTGTGAAGTGACAGCTTGCCAGCACAGGAGCACCATCCATTCTAATAACCATTTGGCTCAGTCTGAAAACCACCCAACCAAACCAACCTGACACTAACAGGAACAAGCTCTTCCTACTGCAAGCAACTGTGAATTAATGCCCAAGGCAGAATGGCCTCTTCAGGGCAAAGGGGGTTTTTGCCTTGGTGGAAATTTCAAAGCTCTTCATTTGAGCTCTTATCTGAAAGTCATGGAACATCAAAGAGGGGTACCCAGCCCCACAGCCATGACTCCCAGGCAAATTATCTGCTATGAGAACCCATCCTTAATTCAGTGCATAAGTTGGGCTTCCTATGGCATTTCTAGAACACTTACAAGGCAGCAGCAGATATTTCTGCTCAAAAAGGGTGCAGACACACAATGGCTACCTTGAATTTCATAGCTCTTGAGCAAACACTCCCTGAGTCAATTCTACAAGATGGCCCCAGGCCCACAAACAGCCAGTAGGAGATCCTGCATTCCCTCCTCCTTCCCCTGAGAGCTGACCCATGGCAGTCACCTTGTGTGGGGCAGGAGGGAAATGTCCACCCACGTCCTCCCCAGCAGTGCCCCAAGGAGAGCAGGAGCAGCACAGAACTGCTTGCACTGGGAGGGAGGCAGCCCTGATTGCAGGTTCTCTGCCCTTTACAAAACAGAATGTTAGATCTGGAGAAGGCTGATAATACGGTGTCCTAAACTGGTGTCAGAGACATAAAGCATTCTAGCCTCATCCAGCATGTAATTAACTTTCTGTCACTCGCGGGAGATATCCTGTAATGGTGCTTTATCCCATGCAGACTGCTCATGGCACAGGGAGCTCCTGGAACTCCAGATGCCTGCTCTGCCTCTACAGGGTGCTGCGGGCAGCTTGCAGATGCCCTCAGCAAAAAGGCTGCTGGGGAAGCCCTGGGGCTGCTCCTGAAATATGGTACAACACAAAAATGAATTTCAAAATTGAATCAGACACAAAATACGGATGATTAAAAGGAGAGACTGTCAGCATGAAGACGGTGCTGTAACATCATCCCAGGGCAGAATATGGCACCCCTGGTTGGCAGCAAAGTTCTGGAGTGACTCTTGGTTTGAAACATGACCATGTTCCTCTCTTCTTGCCTCACAGCCCATCTTGCATCTTTCACCAGACAGCCTTGCTCTCATTTCCTTTCAACAAGATAAAACCATCAATTTAACAGCACAGCTGGGAGGGTAAGCGAAGGTACAAAATAAGCACACATCATCACAGATGGGGGTGGGGGGTGTTCGCACTTCTGCATAGCTTTATGGCTGCGGTGAGCATGGGGTGGCTGAGGCCAGCAGAAAGCCGCCCTCAAAGAGACATGCTGGGACTGGTGTCTCAGCAAGGCCATGTGCTAGGGGCAAGCACAGCCCTGCTCCAGTGACTGCTGCAGCATTCCCAGCCACTGCTGAGCAGCAGGAATTGAACAACACACCCACTGCCCTGCTGCCTCCTCTTGTCTGTCCTCCCTCCTCCTTCCCCAGGCTGGGCACCCCACTTCTGAGCAGTGAGGTCCTCTCACTGCCGCCTCTTCTCTTGGACAGGATGTGGCTCTCTGCGGTTAAGCAGCACCCAGTGTGCATCCGGCTGCCTGCCAAGAAGTGAATAAAGCCATGCAGAGCTCAAGAAGCAGCTCTGCTCACAAGTGACAGCTGGAGCGGAGAGATGCGGCCACCAGGCTCAGGTCTGCTGGATGAGTATGTGTGATTCGCAGGCAAAGGCAGAAGAGAATCTCTTCATGCCATGCTGCTTTCCCTCGGTTGTGGAGCGCCCGTGCCGCCTGCTGGCCAGCCGGGATCGATCCTTGCTCCTGGGGCACCAGCGCCAGGACACCCACATAACCAGTACAGTTAACAACTTAGTGTGAATGGTTTTGCTTTGTAGAAGTACTGGCTTAAGTACTTTTTGCTTAATAGGTCTGCTTTCTGTAACGCCCCAAAATTTCATTTCCTGATGAAATTTAAAGGAAAAAAAATCTGGCAACACGTTTCAGCCATTAGGTGCCACGTAAGATAGAAACACTTTCCGCAGATAAAATTATTTTCCAGATCCATTTGCAACACGTGTTCACAATAGCACACAAAACGCCCATGCTGCCATATGCAAGCTCCACAGCACATTCCAATAAAGTGTCATGTGTTAGACCCATAAACAGGTGTGCAGTCTTCTTTCCCATTGGGTAAAATTAGCATTCCCACCTAGCTTTCTCCTTCCAGCTGATGCCCTTTGAAGCTGGAAAAAAAAAAAAAAAATCAATCTACTGGTTAGATGAACATCTCAGCTATCTTGAGGTATCTCACGAGATTTGCAGGACATGAAAAATGTATACAACTCTCTGTAGGCTCTTTTCTTTTTTTTTTTTGTTTGTTTTTTAATTGAAGCTTTGTCATTGTCTGCTATATTTTGGGTATTTCTAAAATCAAAGGAAGGCAAAACAAATTGTAGATGAAAGACAGCAAAAGAGACAGAAAACAGAAGAGAGCAAGAAAAAGAGTTAAAATAAAAAGAGAGAAAAATACCCATCTGCCTGGCTTTCCTGCTCTCACATAAATAATGGACAGACAGTAAATAAATAAGTTACAGGGCTCAGCCAAGCCCAGGAGACTGGTGGACATGATCCTGCAAGTATATTAGAACACAGAAACACAGCTGGAAGGAGACCTGGGAGGTGATGGAGGCTGGTCTGCTGCTGTCTCAGGCAGAGCCTCTCCCGAGACCCCCTGAGCACTGATTTTTTTTTTTTTTTTTTTTTTTTTAAGGAAGACATGGAAAAGCCTCACTGCCATCCAGCTTGGGATTTTGGACAGAGGCAGAAGTTAGTCCCTTTAAAATACTGCTGAATTACAGTCAGAGCACTCTCAGTTGTAAGCTCCTTTCTAGCACCACCAGGAATTTCTAGATTTTCCAGTGATCACTTTCACAGATCTGTCCTTAGGACAGCATGGTGGCCTGCCAGACCACCGCCAACATTAACGAAGATTCACCTGATGCTCCCAAGATAGAACATGTCTCTGCTGTGACAATTCCCATGTCTCCAGACCATTACTAGGAGGAGGGGATTTAACAGACACTTTCAAAAGTAATTTCTCTTCCAAGGGTTACATGCTGTACCCTCAGAAAGTTCCTCACAGCTTCCCAGAGTTTGGGTGGGAAGCATCTCACTTAACCATAGCTGCCTACCATGCAGACGCTGTCACTTGGATTCGTCTCAGACTTATAGATATTGGATAATGAGAAAGCTTTATGGTGTAATTTAGTTGATTTTAGATTTGTTTTCACTTAAACCTGAAATGAATCCTTTCCTGGTGATCCACTGACTCCTCTTCAGCTCCTCTTCTCTCACACTAAAGGGAGCCTTGGTACTGGATGGCGCAGAAGAAGCCATGTGCTATCAAGCTGACTGCCTAGGTGAGACAGGTTCCAGCCTTGCTGGTGGGGATTAACTTAAATCCTGCTTGCATGTTTAAGCATCCAGCAGTTGATTTCCTTTCTACCATATACATACTTAATAAGGATTCAGGAGCTTTCTCTGCCACACCTGAACCTTAGGGAGCCACCTTTTGCTTCTCAGCATTTAACAATCCATCCTGTCCCAGCTTTCTTTATGAATACTTCTACCTTTATGTCCTGTTAGTTATTATTTACAGCCCCAAGCAGGTCTACTAATACTGATCCAGTATTAGGTCACAATGATGCCACATTAGCCAGTACCATGATAATGACACCATAAGAAGGAAAGTAATGATACAATATTAACTAATGATGATACCAGAGTCTTCCTGAAAGGATTTAACCTTTCTATCACAGCCACTAATTTACAACTTCCCATGGCTACAGGCTTTCTCATAACCAACAAGAATGCATATCCGCAGGAGGAGCACCTCTGATTGACTGAGAAAGGTAAATGCTTGCTTTGTAATAATGAAAATTTCTCGATCTGTTTGAATAGGATGCACCTGGGGGACACCCACTAGTGGTAAAACCTGCTAGATTTCATTAGTGCAACCCCAAATATATTTCAGAAAACCCATTTGAGGAGTATTTTAATATAGTATATTAATTTTGCACTTCATTACTACAATTTAATTGCAAATGAGCACCAATATACATAAGTGCAGTCATTAAGCTCACCCAAGTTCAGTACCTGTTCAGCAATATACCTGTTCAACAATACAGTGTCAAGTTCATTTATGTAATTTACCAACACTTCCCCATTTATCTTAAAAATGACTTCCAAGTTCTTAAAAATCACTAACATAAAAGCGCATTGATTTTTCACTGTTTTGCTACTGCCATGCTTCTTGTATTTCTCCCTGGGCAAGCAAATACGATAAATATGACAGTCAGTTCCAATGTCATTTAAAGTCATTTTCTGGGAAATTTCACTTTCAGATCTCACATGCTAGCACACTGCAATAAAGTGGCAATTGTTCATATGCTTTACTAATGCATTGAAGTGAAGGAAGTTTAACAAAACATAAATTTCAAGACTGTGCAATTAAGTTCTGAACTGGCATAAACTGAGAGCAGCACCAAAGCTTGTCATAGCCAGCAAAGGCACAAAACCAGACCAACTGCACGTTCAGCTGGTGGCAGATTTCTTCATGCAGGTATGAGCATGGTATGAGTTTGACAGTAAAACTGGGAGCACTTTGTCTGCATCTGCCAGATACCTTTATGGCCTATTGGAAGAGGACAGTTTCTGTGCTCATCTGTGTGTTGATAGCAATGAAGAGAGCACAGGAGTGCACACTGACACCCTACCACCAATTCAGGCTTTGACTTTGGCATCAGCCAGCGGCTGCAGCTTGCCCTGGTGCCACCACCACTGAGTGCTGGCCCACCAGAATTGGCAGCTTATTCCTGCTGCCTTTTCCTGCTGTAGTTGAAGCAGCAGAATTGTGCCACAGAATCTACATCAGTATCTACATCATGTTTCATACTACAAGTTTCAACTTCTTCACAGTGCCAGAATACCTAGAACACCCACAGAAGAGAACTCTAATACAGTGAGAGTCAAGCTCTCAAATAGTTAAGAGACACCGGAATTCAAAGTACCAAATGCAAACCTGTTTTGCTTAGTGAAAGCAACAGCTTTTGGCCACATGAACACCACCCCATATTTTCTCCACATGACCCCTGCCACAAACACATGCACAAATTCTGTGTATTATTAGGGAGCTTACAAGCCATGTCTCATCACAAAATTTCAACTTTGCAAGCCTATGCTTGACAACACTGACTCTGCTAAACACTGCTCCTGGGATTACTTATATCATTCTAGTGCAGGTATTTGTAGCAGTGCTACAGGCCAGACCTTGCCATTCTCAGTTTTACTCAAATTGATGTTTCAGAAGTTCAGCACAGATCAAGCACTGCATTTCACCTATGCAAGAGAGTATGATTAGCCCCGTTTATTTAGTTCAAGTGAAAAATGGCTTCACCTGAGGTTTTCTGAGCTGAATTCTGATTCCAGGAAACGAAGGAACTGGTCTCGTCCTACTGGGTCCTTCAGCACCTCATCCATGGAGAAGCCCCATCTTTTCACACGCTGCTGACTAGGTTCTTTGCTGTTTGGAGAGAGAGGGGAAAAACAGATGGAATGTGCATTTCTGCCTGCTGTCCCAGCAGCTGCTGCTGTTCCTGTTAAGCAGCAAAGGGAAAAAGATTATCAGACAAGGAGATGGTGGCTGTTTCCTTAAGAATTTCCAGCGATACAAGATAGCAAACAACACACAAGAAGGAGCTATAAAGACCAGGGTCATAGTTAATGCAACTGTGCTATTTGGGTGCTGCTTATATGTCAAAATGAGAGAGAAACTGAATTATATTATTTTCAGGGAGACTTCTTGTACACTTTGCATAAAGAACCATTTATTTTATGTCAAGGCAGAAAGAAATGTGCCACCAATGTTCTCTGGGCCATCGGCAAGCTCCAGAGCATTACCCTGTGTCCCACACAGTGCTGGCTGCTAACCTGGAACTGCCTTCAGACTGAGAAGCAGAGAGGACAAGATTTTTAAGAAATGATTACTGCTTTGTGGTCTTGTATTTTTCATTGCCTCTGACTTTTGGGTACCTAAGTTTTGCAAGATGTAAAAGCAACCACCTCTTCCTCTCCATGATAGTCATACTCTCAGCTGGGACACTGAGATGTGGAGGCATCCAAATTCACTCACAACCTTTCTGCTACATTATTTCTTAATACAACCCCGCTTACATAAGCTGTTGTTTGAATTGCCAGACATGTAGCAGAGATGCCTATGGGGAGAGGCACTGCCTAGGAATCACGAGGATCCCACACAAAATGTTTGAGAGCTTCTGGTGTGATGGCGTCATACTATGAGACAACCATTAAAACAAGTTCAGCTGCTCACATTTGTGACAGTAGAGCCATTGTAAACAGTACGTATCTATTAAACTGTATGTCTTGTCATATCCACAGTGATTCCTAATCCTGGAGCCTTAGGGGACGGTGGCGATCTGTGCTGAAGACAAATAAGCCACAGGGGTAAATAAAATGCCCACTTTGATTTCCTCTTGCTATGGAGACTAAGCAACACTGATGGCATGTCCTCACTTGAGGCGCAGAGCACTGGGGCTGGCTCCGCCTCTGCTGAGAGAGCCACCCTGGACATGGGGACATGAGAGCTGTGCTGGTGCAGAGCTATGCACCAACCGAGTTCAGGGAATTTCCTGATGATTCTGGAGATCAGAAGCTCTGTTTGCTTGCTGCTGCACAGACTGAAAAGGCCAAAGTGCTGTCTAAAATAGAAGCCTTTCCGAGGCATTTCCCCAGTGCCACGGAGGATGAGCTGCACAGCGCTGACCCCTGCTCAGAAGCTGGCTTTGCCATTAGAAGAGAAAGGGGCTTAGTTTCCCTGAACAGCGGCTCTGCTTTCCTGACACAAGAAACAGCCTTGCAGGCAGCACAAGGGCTACCAGAGCTCTTGGGAATCATTTAATTATTCATGCAAGTTGCAACTAGATGCAGACACAAGGAGGTCTCTTGCTATAGAGAATAAAATGAAAATACAAAGATGTTTGTTCTCTCATCTCACAACAATACGGCAGGAGAATCACCTTCCGTAACTCTGAAATCATAACAAAAACAAAGCTTTTACTCTAATTCTTAATAAGGCCATGACATCAGGTTGATTATATTCCTTGGGGACACAGAAATATTTTCAGGGGTTTCCAGCCACCTCAACAGACCCAGAAGAAATGATGCCTGGATTACATTGTGGGTGGAGCTCCTCCAGAGAAGTATTTTGCAGGGGTTGCATCTGTAACCCTGCTAGGGAGGATGGAGAAATTGAGAGAAACTGACTGAAAAAGAAATCCAAAATATTGATTTTATATGAAAAGAGGCAGAGACCAGGGAACTAATTACCAGCTTCTGTGACTTTCAGAGAAGCAGGGGACAACACCTTTCACATCCCACATCACATATGTTTTACACAGAGAAATAACTTGCCCTTTTCCTGGAATATTGATTCATGGTGAACTGGCTCTCCTAAGCCAGCAGCATCTCAAAATTTACATGATGATTTAAGAACAGATAGTATTAGATTTGCCATTCTTTTTCTCAAAGATTTGCTAAAATGAACTCCCAGTTCTGTTTGGCACTGAACAACAACAGCAGATCAGCTTCAGGAAAAGCTGCACAGCATTTGCAGCCATCTGCCAAGGGATGCCCTGAGTGAGCAATGAAGGTAGCATGGTGAGCGACAGCATCTTGCTGCTACTCAGCGTGTCCTGTATGGCAGTGGCATCTTGCACAGGATTCCGCAATTTGGGGAGGACCTGAGAGCAGGCTCTCAAGGGTCAAAGGAAGTGTGCTGGAACAAGGATCTTGTAGAAGTATCTTGTATCTGTGGGCTCTAAGAACCAAGCCCAGGCATGCCCTGTACAGGCATAAAATCACCTTAATTTACACAGTAATGCAAATTAAGCACATGGAAGTGAAAGGGCTGTATAATCCACAGAAATAAGAAACTATACCATTCTGTTTAAACTTCAGTTATGCGAGTGTATCTTGTGAAGATTTGGAGATGAAACTTCCTATTCCAATAGCCATGGAAAAAGCATACCAATAAAATTGCAAGACCTAAAACTGCCAAATCTTACCTCATTTCAATGTCCCACAAAGCTGCATCATCACTTATCCAGGGATTAGAAGGCTCAGCAGGAGTGATAAAAGGGTCATATTCCACATACTGCTCTGTGTACGCTATTAAACTGACATATTGAAAAAAGTAAAAAAGAAGAAGATACAGACAAAGCCTGAATACTCAGTCATGTATCAGAGATACAGATTTCCTCTCTTCCCTCCCCCTCTCCCTCCCCCCCCCCACTTTGTTGGAGGACTTTTTTTCCATGTTTGGATCAGAGTGGTTCTTAGTACTCGCACACAACAGTCCCTTTTTCCTGGAAGGGTGCATGCAAGGATTTCTCTGTAACACTCACCAGTTCACTCAAGGTTTCCTCAAGGTTGGTTCTGCGGAGATGCCTACAGACAGCCTGATGTGGCAGCAAATGAATTGATATGGAGGACTTCCCACAGACAGCAAGGTGACTCTGAAGCACATGTCCTCCACATTTGTTGCATGCTGCTGTTCCCCCCTTCCCTTCCCCTTTGTTTTTTTTTTTTTGTTGTTTCTGTTTTTGTTTTTGCAAGGGCTTTTGTACTCACTACTTTAAGCATTGTGAGTAACTCATCAAAATACTGTCATGCACTGTAGCTAAGAACACAATTAAGTCTTTGGAGGATCTAAGTACCAGATCTTCAGCATACAGGTAATTTTGTTTTGTCAGTATATCAGCGCAATGACGATGCAATATACTCAGTGTAGTTCATAATCATTAATGTAAAATGAAGTAAACTATACAGGTATTGAATAAGCTCCTGGCTTTTATACTGGTCTGCTTCAAGCCTAGTCAGAAAAAGCATACAGCCTCTAATCCTAAGAGCTGCCTGAAAAGGCCCATGTCTGCTTGCACAGACAACTTGGGCATTCCATTGGGGTTGGGACAAGGCAGCAATTTTATGAAATGTAGGCAGCGTAAAAATCAAAAGAAATTTGTCCCAGTCTATACTCAAAGTACTCCAAGGCACTTTTTCCTTTTTATGTCTCAGTCTGCCAACTAATTAAATAAGTTAATTGAGTCTCACCATACTGAAAACTAATCTATTTTCACTGTGATTGCCCATGCTAAGTGTTACCTCTGGGTCCTCCACACCTTCAAAAGACAGGAGAAGGAAAATACCCTGTGAAACCACGGGTCACAAAAGGCAGAAACTTTCCCTGACCTGCCCTACAATAATTACTTCTTTTTGTTTGTCCTAGCTCTTATCATGAGGCATTAAAATCATACACTTTTGTAACCACAGCAGGTTCCCACTGCCCCTCAGGGCACTCAGGGCTGTCTCATCTCATTTCATTAATTACATTTCATGACTGTTGTGGGTCAAGGGTTGGAGGAGGGAGCAGCGTCCAATTTCAGAGAGCAGCAATCCCGGAGACATCAATGAGAGAGAGGGGTGGTTAAAAAAATAAAACATAAAAAAGCCAACAAAAACCACACAGAGGATAAATCAGGAGGTATCTGCTGTGAAACTTGAATTGCTTGTAACAAAATAATAAGGTGGCATCAGAGGGGAAAAAATAGATGAAATAAGGGTCGATTTGCTAAACACATGTTGCTGATTCAGTATGATGACAAGAGCTGAATTACAGCCTCATTGTCTAAACAAGGCTACAGGCAGTGGGAATCCTAAGGGAAAGCATTTCTGCCAAAAGGAAAACCTGGACTTTTGGCTTTTCAGGTGATGCTGTGTCATTCTGGCAGAAGAGGTGATGGTTGAGTTGATGGAAGGGGGTAGAGCTTACACTGAGAATCTGTCTATCTCACTATCAGGGGGCCCTGCTGAGCTTTCACAGTAACTTCAGGTGGCTGAGAGGATAACACAGGTTTGTGACACATTTTCATTTAGGGAACCAAGATTACTTTTGATAGGAAGGTGTTCAGGCTTTCCTCAGCCACTTCCATAATGCCACATGTACTGGGATTGCATCAGCACTGCCTGACATGATCAGGAAAAACAGTAGGTACAATTTATTCACAGTTTCGCTTGAGAGTTGTCAAATCTCCTTGCCAGATCCTAAAACCAACAGTGATCATGTCCCAAGAGAGGAAAAAGGATTTGGAAGTACAAAAACTGTTCCCTGTGTTCCTGCAGCAGCTGAGGGATGCCTCAGTCTTAAAAGCAGAGCCCAACCTGAGAAATGCCTTGCAACTACTAACAGCACCTCCTTACTCGGCACATCTGCTCTTGGAGCACACATCCAATGTTTCACACGCAGTCTTCAGGCAACACAGGCTTCATTTCAGGCAACAAGTCAACTTAGGCCACACAAACTCATTCTCTCTCACCCACTCCCATCACTGCCGAGCCCCTCCAAGGCCTTCCTTGCTGCCCCTTGTGCCAAGCCCCACCACAGCATGGGGCCCTCCAAGCCATCCACAGTCCCTCCAGACCAAGAAAATTGTTTTTTGTCCCATTCTACTGAAAACTAATAGATTTTTCTTCTGGCATTGACAATGACATATTTATCATGGCAGTATAACTTGAACAACAGGTGTGCTATGTGGACAGGACCCGATGTTCACAGTCAGTGAGCTTTATTGAGACCATCTTATTGAATAAATACCTACCCAGAAAAAACTCAAGCAAAACACATCTGCTTGTCTGTAAATTACCAGCCTGGAAATTATTACTGTCACAGTATATTAAGGTCACCATAAGTAAATTCAGTATAAAATGAGAATTTTTGGTAAAATACAAAATTATCAGAACAGAACCAGAAAGCCCAAAACATAAACGTGAATGTGCTAATTTCAATAGTGTAAAATAGTATGTGAAGGACTTCAGAAAGCCTCTGACTATTTTCTTTTTAAGTGGATAAACTTTAATTTAAATTGATAAACATTATGAGCCACTAGGAACTTTCTGTTGAGCTCTTGCCATTTAATTTGCCTAGTTCAGTGTACACACAGTAATTACAGGAGCAAGTACTGCAAAGCACAAAATTTCATAGGGAAATCTCTTTTTAATTTGTTTAAGTAAAAATTCCTGTTATTTCTCCAGAAAGAGCCATCCCTTGTCATACCACTCGTGTTCAAGACAGTTTTGCTCTGAAAGTGATGTTACAGAAAAGCATGCTGATCCCTACATTTGTCTCAGCAATTCCTCTGAAAATGTGCATAGCTTACAAGAATGTGAGTAAAGGAGCTGTCACTCTCAGGAAGCTAAATTTGAACTTGTTCTTTACTTGTTCATACTTTCCTACATGGACTAAATTTTCTGCAAGTCAAATTTTGCCTTGATTTGCCTCTATGAGGAATCCACCCCTTCGTAACATTGCCTTGAGTAGTCCAGATACAGACCTAGTACTTTCCATAGGGTTTCACACGCATAACTGAGGGCAGAAACTGGCCCTACAACCCCGGCACAAATGAATCCCAGCGTGAATGCAAACATCACATGCAACAAGATGCAAACACAGTGCCCTCCACAGAGATTTGTCAGTCTAGCAGGAGAGGAGCACTCAGAGTTCATCCAGAAAGTAAAAATTGAGTGCTTTTCAACTGAAAGAAGAATGACTTTTCTTTAAGTAACACTAGACTTGTGAAGATATAGGAAACGAATGCCCTGCAATGGTTTTTTCCATTGTGATCACATTTCTTTTGCTTTTACAGTACAACATCCTCCTTTTTCACCCGCTTTTTCTCAGTGGCAGAAGGGCAAGTGTCAAATGTCAGTGGTCAGCAGACAAGCAGCATGTCTGGGCGAGGAGGAAAAAGGATTCACTGCTCAGAAATGGAACAAGCCTTTGTGCATCCCTGCCTACTTGCTATTTCTAGAAATGCTAAATTTGAGATGAAGAAGTAATGGAAAATCAGATACATGGGGACACTCACCTTTCTGCAACTTTGGACATCTTTAAACAATGCCTGTCTATCTGCAGGTTCAGAAAAGTTATCTGAGGAGAGAGATGACAAGGGCATTAACAATCCAGGAGCTCCACAGCATGCATTGATCACATCCCAACACACTATTGATTTCTCATTCCAAACAGCTTGAAAGTAACTCAGAAAGAAATGGGACCCTCCCCCAGGTAATAGAAGCAGCTTACTAGCTGCTTCCATCAGGAGTCTCCATTTCATGTGGCAAAGTCCCAGGGGGAGCATCAGAAGAAATAATTAAAAGTAGGAAAGACATATTTGGGCCTGAGGTTCCTAGACAACTCAGAGTGCAATGTGATCCTCATTTTATAACACACACTTTCATTTCTCTAACCAAGAAAATAAAGATTTCAAAGTACATTTGTACTGTGCTATAAAGTAGTTCTTCGTAGTATTCTGCAGCCCATATTGCCTATGATGGAAAAAGCTCAAGAGATGTAGTGTTCAGGCTTAGTTCAGAAGATCAGTCTAAAACTGGCTGCCTAAGAAACATGTTTAATGCTGTCTTTACTAAAAAGCTGACCCAGCAGTTCCTGCCCATACTTCAGCGAGACTTGTTTCTTGCAGGAAAGCAATTTTGAGGGAGAGCTCCCCATGGAGGGGCAAGATCCCATGATTCAGGCAGCCATTCCTCAGAGCAATTCTGCAAATAACTTTTTCCCCGTTCCCCAAAAGCACCATGCCTGTGTTCTGGGTGTGCCAGCTTCTCTAGCCTTTGTCAGTGCCCATTTTTCAGGCATCCTTCGTGGATGGAAATTAATCTGCCTACTGGCCCACAGAGAAAGTAATCAAAAGGTTAGTGTTGCCCATAACTGCACTGCTCAGTTAATACACATCTTTAAATACTTACTGCTTTACATAAAGGATGTGAGGATCAAGCATAGTTAAAGCAATGGTGGTTTTTACTGATATCTCTACAATGTTAATTTTTTTTTTTATTATTTTTATTTTTATTTTTTTTAAAGCAGAAAACAACTGCCTGACTGTTCCAGATGTACCCAGCTCTCAGGACAGCTGAACTGCTGCATAGACATCTACTTACTTGTTTCCGGAAATCCTCTTTTGTAGTTTTGCGTATGGGTTGGGAGGGCACATGTACAGGGCTTTGGGGCTGAGATTCCTCTGTAACCCCATACACTGACTGCAAGGAACCAGCAAACAAACAGAAGAGATGACAGCTTTTTCTCTGTTATGCAATGAGAAGTGCAGTATGCAAAACAGTAAGGTAATAAGCCAACAATTTCCTACTGTTTTTTTCCCACACAGGTAAACAATCATTCAGCCGGGAGCAAAACTGACAGATCTGACTGTGCTGCAGATGCCTGCATTTGGGATGTCTGCAGGCACGCCAGCGGTGTGCTCAGGGCTTCCTGCACAGCTTGCTTTCCAGCAAAACACTCTTACCTGAGAGCTTCCCCTGTTGCATATGAGGTGTCCACTCTGTGCAGCTGCAGTCTATAGGGCTGTTTCACAGTAAATAGGAAAGAGCTTATCTTAAATACTAATAAATGCAGCTGATCATTTGTAGGAGCTCTGAGGGCTGTGCCTGTTGTATTTGCAAGAGGAATGCTACAAATGATTGTTGTGGCAAAGTAAGTGCAGAAAAAATGTACTAGAATCCAACCCTTTTCTTCCATTTTCTTCCACTCAGTTGAATTTCATGTCATAAAACTACATATCAAAGAAAGAGCTTAACCAGGTGTCAGTTGCTCAAGTTCATGTGAACCTAAAGATTGACTTGTAGCCTTCTGTTTTCAGGACAGAGACTTGCACTGAAAGTAATATCAACTACCCTGTCATTTAGTATTTTTGCTTTTCACTTTACGTTCAAAAGAGACAGGTGAACATCTCTGCTGTAATTTAACTACCAATGGAAGTTAGGAGTCTAGTGTCACCTCTAAAACTAATAAAAACACGTAAGAGTAAGAACTTGCTTCAAGTCAAGAGAATCCAAGCTGCTAATGATTAAGCCTTTGAGATTATTAAGGCAGATAAAGCACTCTGAAAAACCTGCGTCCAAATATCTTCTGAAAAGTGTGACCCAAGTATTTTTGCCAACTGATTTTATTTTTATGGGAATGTAGAGTCAGTAGACATCTGCTGCTAAAACTGCAATAGTAAATTCACCAATTAAAACAGAACTGACATTTGCCAAATCCGTCTCTTGATTTCTATTGGGAAAGTCCGATATACTCTAGGTGTCAAGAATGACTGACGTTAAAAAAAATGAAACAAATCCAGAAACTCACACTGACCTTTTTCACCTTCTGTGGGTTTTTCATACGACGACACTTTCTAATGTCCATTTCTGTGGTGTTCACACAGCCCGGCTGAAAAGAGACAGTTCAAGGAGGTGGGTATCACATTAGTGTCTTCTGCTTACAGTCTGCATGCTTCCTTACCTAGCTAAAATAGAGTTTAGATCTTGTCCAAAATTCTTTCCTTATGTTTGCACCTATAGATTATGCTTTCTAAACAAGAGAATGCATGTACCCAAAGTTGGCATCTCAGCATCAAAATCCATTTACTCCTAACCAGCACCAAGCAGAAATGCCTCAGCTAAGAGGAGAGCTTTTTCTAGGAAGTCTGTAACAAACTGGCTCAGCTGCTTTTCTTCCACCCGCACAAAAAAAGATCTTCAACACTTTACATTTGTAATATATTTCTGAGTCAACAGTTCCAAGCATGCGCAGACCAATAATGTCTGAGATAATCTCGTAGAAGCCTGTTCTGAATTGTGAGGAAAATCCACGCAGTGACTTTAAAGACAATATCACTGTGCAATTCACAGCACAGTGTTAAGTGAATTAAAACTGATTATTTAAAAAGGGCTTTACCACTGGCCTGTGCACGTCCCAGAATGCTCTTTCCTGGCTGTCCAAAATTTTCCTTTCTGTTTTGTCCTTTTTCCTGTCAATTCTGAAAAACAAAGCATAAACACACAAGTCACCACACAACTATTTCTTCCTTGTTACATTTTCTTGCTGGAGTTTTAACTCAGTGACAAAAATGTTCAGAAATCTCTCTCTCTATATATTTTTTGGTATAGAAATGTTACACTCTGACTTCCAAAGCCACATGTCATGAGTAAAACATCATAGATGTTTACTGCAATGTGTGTGAAGAGGAATTTTCCTATTAAGATGGAAAATTTGTTTTAACATCTGTTTGTTTGTTTGGTTTCCACCTAGTGAGAAAAGCTTCCTTTCCTGATGCTTTCTTCCTAGACCAGGAACTCACATTTAGCTTTGGCTCTGTCAGCATCATCTGGCCTGTATCTCTGGGCATCTCTCTCCTGCAGGCTGAAGGGCCACCTCAGAAGGTCCTGCTGCACCCAGAGACCTCACCGCGATGACCACAGACTCCTATGAGGCAGCTGCCCAAGGCCCCATGAGCAGTGACAGCACAGGCAACACTTGTGGTCGCTGTCCCTGGAGATTCCAACAGAGCAGCTCCATCTGCCCTGGTGCTGGCAGTGTGGGGTGACAGTGTGAGTGACAGCGCCCAGCTCACTGACAGCGCTGTGCAAGCCAACACTCATCTGGAGATATGTGATGGGGTTGGCATAGGTGTAAGTCACTAATTGCAGCCATAATATAGCCAGTAAATGGATTCACTCAAAGCATACACATCAAAGCCACTGGAGGTTGTTCAAAGCAGCTATAGCTGTACCTCTCAGCAGCATCTAGCAATTCATGTCCAATGCTCAGCTCTATACATGAGCACAGCACTGTCACCATCAGCTTGCAGGACCTGCCTGTATAATGACAGGTGACACCCAAAGAGAAGGAACCACCCTTGCCTCAAGAGCGGGCTTGAGAGGCTGACAGCATCCCCATGCTGACTTCTTGCACTGCTGCCACCTGGGATAATGACAGCAGTGAGAGAAAGTGCAAGCAAGCTACAGCTTCTGACAATCAGGTTCTCACCTCTCCTGTCTTTCTTTGGGAGGGGCAGTGATCCTCAGCTGAGTCTGTGCTAGAAGTGGGGACTGAGGCTGACACATCTGAACACCCCCTCCCTCCCCACAAAATCCTCGAGTCCAACGCACTTTGGAGCTGGCTGAGATAAGAAACCAGCTCAGCATGAGCAGCCTCCAGACACTGCTTCACTGTACCGAGCTGAGAAGCAAACACAGAACGCAAAACCAGGAGAAATGCTTTTAGATGTTTTGCTTCGTTTTCCGTTTTAGTTAATACACTGCCATGCATTGCACTGTGAATTCTAACCCATCTTTTCTCCATGAAAAGATGAGTATGCAATGCTGACCCTGTAAAAAATCTGAAGTTAAAATTTCTTCCTTAGATGATAATTTATGCTGTAAATGGAATGCAGAATTTTGTTTTGACTGAGATTTTTTTCGTTTTGGCAACAAACCTTTAAGTAACCGAAAGTACAACTGCTAGTGTAACTTCCAATTTTTTCTTCTAAGCAGAACACTGCTATTCTCTTCAGAAAAAAATCCCTTAATTGCCTTGTTATTTTGAGGATAATTACCACGTACTTAAATAGTGCATAATTACAATTAATCAAAATTCCAACGAGTTAATCAAAGATAGGGACCAATGCCTCAGCCACACCCTCAAGTAAAAGTGTCCCTTAACTTTTTAGCATCTGATGCTGAAAGTGCAAATTCTTTCTATCAGTACAGCCCATTAGTACCCTATATTCTTATACACCACCTTCATCAGTCTTCCAGTTTTACAGGAGATGATTACATGCACCAAATGGGCACACGGGCTGTTAAGTACACTGGTCTACAAACCCTGGACAATACTCATTTTGCAGCAATAATGACAATATGCTAAAAACATCAAACTGTTTATGGAAAGATGTGAACAAAAACGAAAATTTCAACTGTGAGTAGAAGACAGAAAAAAACCAAAACAGTATATAGTTGGAGTAAGTTTTATGTAAGTGGTACCCAATCCTCCACACTGTCAGGAGCATAAACTGGAGTGCAGAAAATAGAGGTACAACTGAGTTGACTGGGTACTGATATAAATGAGAAAAACAAACACAGTCTGCTGTAAATACCGCCTTTATAAGAACTTCTAAATAACAGTATTTTAAAAATACTTTACAAGCATAGAGTAATATAGACCAATGACAAAATTGTGTTCTTTCCATTACATGTGAAATAAAAATATTATACAACAGTAGAAGCAGAATGTGCAAGTGAATCGCCCAATCTCGCATGGAAAATTCAGGCTCAGGAGCTCCTGATGGGCATTTCTACACAGAGACATTTAAACACGTCTTTCAGATTCTGGCACAAACCTTAGCAACTGGCTCTCTATTGTTTCCAGTCTGCTGATGATTTAGCAGTTCCTTCTGAGCTTAGCTGCAGTGAAGACTTTAAGAAACTCTAAGAGTCCCCCTCCCTGTGCAGCCCTAGATACTGGGGCAGTTCACTGCTCCAGGATTACTCACTTCACTTGGGCCTCAGCTTGCATGAAGATGAATTCCCACTTCCTTGCAAATGCTCTCTGAAGTCTTGCTAAGTTTTCCTGACAAAAAATGAAAATAGTTAAGAACAATTAATTCTGGTAATTAAACAATTGCTTGAGAGCAGTTAGTACGTTGGGAGTTATTTTTATTTCCCCTTCATTTTTTTTTTTTAAAGCTGGAGAACTCAAGACATGGAAGTCAGTGCTGGTTTCAGGTGATTTATCCCATAGGCAAAGCAAGGTCGTGACACATCTTTTCAGGCTGCAGCCGAGAGGACCCTGTCAGGAGAAGTAATAGAGTGTGATGAAGACAGCCCGAGATCTGTTAGTAAAATGATGATGGTCTTGTTCCCAAAAGATAATACTGAGAAGCTCTGCAAAGCTGACAATTTCCATTTCTGATAGCAGATGGCTGCCACCTGCATGATTCCCTCTCTTTCCTACTTCCCTTTCCTCCCCACACTGGTCCCTTTTGCTAAGGTGTAAAGCCTGAGCATCCCCTGCTCTGTTCAGCCCTGAGAGCACTGCGCAGCTGCACTGCGCTCAAGTCTGGGAATTGCCAGGATGATTCACAAAAGGAAATAGCTTGTTTGTCTGAACAATGAAAATAGCTCACTGAGAGACCAGATCCAGATGCAGCCTTTTTCCTGCATGAAAAATTCTAGTTCAGGTCTATTGCAGAGAGCATCAGGATCTGAACATTTGGAGATGGATGTAACTTTCTCACAGACCAAGGTCAAGCTCACTGACATGGCCAGAATCTGAGGCTCAGAAAGCACCTTGAAGTCACATCCACAACCACTTGAAGGAGGCCTATGAGACCACTAACCTGACCCATTACAGCTGGTTCAACTGTTACAAATTATCTTTGAAAATGAACAATATTAGTTCTACTGTTCTTTTTTTTACATTGACTCCATTTAAGAAAATGCTTAAGTGCATGCATTTTAGTGCTAGAAGTCTCCCTACTTTTTACTTCAAGCTCTTGTATAACACAAGACAAAGCTTGGCTCAGTTACCACCAAGACTACTTAAGAGTTTCAGTATTCTACATGGACGAAAACGGTTAAGCAAATGATTTACAGCTGTGCCAAGCTGTGATGATTTCCTTTGCTGTGAACCACTTGTAATATCTGCAAAAAGAATTTTTTTGTGGCTTTGATTTATTTTTTATTTTAAATTATGTTCAGATGTGCCCTGCCCTCTGGAGTAAATATGATGAAGCCAATTAAATATCACCAATTGAAGCATTCTTTGAATCATGCTTATGTTTGGTCAATTATAAATTAAAGTTAAATCCAATCATGCAAGCTCAATCATACAATGAAGAGCTCTGCTTTACCAGCAGAAATTGGGAGTGGGAAGTTGCCTGTGAATGATGCAAGCAGAACCTCAAATGAAATGTCCCCTGTGATGCTTTGTAGAGATTCTCTTTGGAAACTCCAAGGCAGTGCTGGTGTCTGCAGAGAAATGTCCTCATGCTACATCTCCAAAAGTTGGTACTGAATGGACAGGACTCCTTCCCACTCCCCTAAACCTGTTTCTCTCACGTGTGCTCAATTTACATCTCCAGTGCTGGGTCTGCTTCAGCTCTCATAATGACTAGGAAAAGTCAGTGCCATTTTTATCTGATTGTCTTTAATTAAGAGAGCAAAGTATGAATGAAGAAGCGACCTCTAATCGTGCAACGCAATATTCACAAGAAAAATGAGAGACTGCCAAGATCTAATTATTTGCCATCACTGGTGCGTTGCTACTCTCAGTAGACAACTATGTGCAAAATTACTTAGCCATAACCTCATGGCATGTGTGGGAGTGTGTGCTGCAGAACCGTCTTTTGTTGCTTTATCATAGATATTTAGAGTACTTACAGTTAATTGGTAGGCTGTGACCAATTTTAATGGTTTTAACAATGAAACAAAAAGTATGCAGAAGTGAAAATTCAGTAAAATGTCGTATAAACGAATATGGATTATTATATTCCTTCCTTTATGTCTGTACTTCACAATTAGAACTCCTGGGACAAGGGTGGATTAGACAAGTGGCAATTTTTGTATGCTCTCTGCTGAAAGAACCACATGGTGTATATGCATACCTATGTGTACAAAAGACCCAAAAATATAGTAGAAGGAAAAGAAGAAGGACAAAATCTGCTCTAGGAAAAAAAAAAAAATAGAACAATCTATAAAATACACAATATAGATGTGTTCAAAAATAAACACGAACACACAAGTCCACTAGAACCATCTTTGTAAAAAACACTTCACTGAAAAAATCCACATTGGAAATTCAACAGTTGAATTGAACAGTTGAACAGCTGAACTAGTAAACGAGAAGAAAGACGGAAAGCAAAGTTCAGCTGGTCTGATATACTGATATACACTGCTAGCATTCAAAGAAACTCATTTCAACACTGACACTCCTGCCTCCATCCTCCCCTCCCTATTGACCCAAACTCTGCACTATCTGAAGCCAAGTTTGGTGATATTTTTTATGAATATTAATTTCATAAGAGAAAACACTCCCTGAATAAGTGAATACACAGTCCAAGTTTCATAACTGAAAACTTTCCTTTACAGAATGTAACTATATTGCATGTATAATATGTAACTACATGCCATGGGCCATTTGTAGTTTAATTGCTCAGCAATGCACCCGAAAATCCATGATTTCTGCAGGTTCATATCTGCTATATAAACCAGGAACTGTTAACTGGAAAGAGGAAACCAATATAAACTTTTGTGTGATTTGCCTCTCGGTGCTGATGCTTTAACGGGAGAGGCTGCAGAGCTGGGGACATTCCTCATTTGTGAGCCTGATGTTCTTTCCAGATCAACCTTCAACAAATTCTGACAGCTAAAAAAAGACATACAGTAAAGGCTGACCCCAAGGCATTAAATGGCAGCATTCAGCTGGCAAACAAAGCATTTCCCCATGCCCCCACACTTTAAACTTTAGCAGGAGTGTACCTACGGCTTCATAATCGGCCAGCTCCAGCCTAGCTTTGTTCTGCATGGTCCGTTTGCAAAGATAGATGGCTAAAGGGAGAAACAAAACAGAAAACAATTACAGACAGATTATTAGTACAAGATCTTAAAAAAACACAAACCTCAACAGTCTTCTCATCTGAAGGCAACATAAGCCAAGGAATGAGAGGGCTGAATACCCAGCTGACATTATGTGCTACCAATCTCAGAGGCCTTAAACATCTGGGACATCTCATTTAAAAGTGCTGAGAGTTGATGCCTGGACCTAACAAGATGTCTGAGAAAGACACAATTACTTCTGGTGCTGGTAAAAGATTTAGCATTAGCAACCTGTTCCCCTCAGCAAAAATTCCTTCAAAAGTGAGCAGCCTTGTATATCTCTGCATTTCCATTCCTCTTAAAGAATAATTAGGAAAAAATAAATCAAGATATTGAAATGATAACAGAAATACAGGCTGGATCATAAAGGTATAACTTGAGCAAGTTTTCATTTGCTCCATCCACTTATTTTGTACATTTCAAACAGCTGAGAAAAGCTCTCTCCCATTTCACCATACACAGACACTGCAGAAATTAGTGTGAACTGGGATTCAGAGGGTCAAGATACCAGAGGATACCTAACCAGTTCCAGGCTACCTTCTGGGACTGGCTCAGCTGGACTGTCAGCTCAGCCCATTTCCACTAAAAGCTGAAACAAAAGGTCCCCAGCACACCCAGGGTATACAGTCAGAAGTGAACTACATAAAAAAGATCTAATTGTCTCATTTGGTGATGAAATCTGGGAGTGAATTGCATAGATTTCCTTGCATTTTGCCTTCTTTCCTGTACTGTAGGGCAAGGTAAAGATTATTCAACAGTGCACCAAACTGGCACAGGGCAGAAGGCAAAGCATCTTTTGTAGAAAATAACATTTTTCAGAAATGTTTGGATTTTCTTTTTTTCTTTGAAAACCACAGGATTTTGATTTGCACATAAATATGATTTTCTGGCACTTCCATGAATGTTTTTCATTGGGAACCTCATCATCTATGTAAAATACGACAAAAAACGGTGATATTTGTGTTATTTTCCTCAATGCCATTCCTGTAATTCTAACATCCTTATAACACGCCAACATTATGCATGGTAACCAGAGCTGATTGGGTCAAATATATTTACTTCTATACTTCTTAAAAGCAGCTTCGCCTGCGAGACGACTAATAATACCAAATAAACTGAGAGTCTTGCAGTACTTCTCCACACAAAGCAGTGACCTGCCATTAGCAAGTTCATTTCTGTCCTGTGAGTGGATCTGTGCAAATAACAAAAGTATGAAGAGCTGGTGGGATTTCAGTTTTATTTGGGTCTACTGCTAATTTGGGATTAATTCCTGGGAAGACTCCATCTGCACAGACCCCTGATATGCAGAGGCTGATTATAAGCATATGTTAGAGATTTCTGGGATAGATGAAAATCTGTCACTACAGGGCTCAGAGCTAATGCAGTCACAGCTCATCCAGCTGTGGGTCGGCTCATGTGGGGCTTGATTTTGAGATGTACTGTTCCACCCAATGCCTTTACTGCACAATAGCCAGACAGTGGAACCCAATTATTGAACAAATACCATAGGCAGAAACAGAACCTCCTTTTTAAGGCTGTTGCTCTGATATTTACAGACAATATATTTGGTACAGTTCAGACACATATATGGCGACTGTTTGTAAAATCTGGAAGTTGTTTTGCACACAATGAACAGCAACGCATTTTGTCCTAAGCAGTCCCCTCACTGGGATAAACACATAAGTCTGCGTTAGCCTCCCTGCAGTGGAGAACTACAAATGAACTATCACACATGACAGACACCAATGCAAGTTACTTCTCCACCCTGGCAAACGACTTCCAGAATCTGTAATGATGAATAATTATTACTTGGGAAAGAAAAAAATGATTATTCAGGGAGGAGTTATAAACTGATCTTAGATTATGAGGCATTTCAAAAGAGGCATTTCCAGAAGCTCCTGCTTTATGGGCACACACATGGATTCACTTCCTGTTTGAGTGCCACACCAGGATGCATCAATTGATTTTATCATTCAGCTGTGAAAGAAGTGTAGTTCTGGAAGAGACAGCAATATTGCACGGAGACAGCTAAAGATAACAATACTGACATATTTTCTTTATGTATTATCACTGTCTGCAGGCATTCACACGTCTAATACCCCATGTTACAGTTTATTAGCTCATAAACCACACTCAGTTTTCTCTTTTTACCAGCTAGAAGCTGGTAATCTTAAATTAAAAAAAAAAAAGTGTGATGTCATGCATCACAGAAGCTTAGCTACAGGATGCCATCAGTTATATACTGATGTATTGATCAGCCAGACGAGTGCCCAAATGAGGTAACTTTTTATTGATCAACATATCAAATTCAGCTACAGATCAAAGCATGCTCTCCTACAAAAGCCATACCAATATTATTTAAGATTCCCACAGAGCAATATTCTGCTTGCCATAAATCCTGCTGAAACGAACAGAGCTACTAGAGAATGAAGGCAACAGTATGTGAAATCCTGGCCCTGCTGAACTTGTCAGCTGAAGGACAATTTTTTCCATCACAAACTTTCTGTACTAGCTTTCTGCAATGAAATAATTATGCTCTCACCATAATCTGTGTTTTCTGGCTCCCAGCAGTTTGAAGGCCAAAAGTATGGTGCCTAAGAAACAACACAAGCATTTTCATAATTTAAGAGATGAAAAGCAAATAAGATGCAGAAAAATTGTTAAGTACAAAAAGAATCACAAAGTTTACAGCCCAGTCTCTATTCACAGGGAAAGGAAACAATGCTACAGCTCTCAATAAAAGTGATGATGCTTTTCCAGAAAGGTATCCTCTCTAACATTCCTCACTGCAGGCAGAAACATTGCAGTTCTGATTGAGGACATTCACCCTGATGGCATTTTAGACACTCCTTCCTTCTCATCTGAATATAGATCCCTTACTCTCTATCACCACATCTTCCTCTTTCCCCAGATTTATTTACTTACTTATTTATATAGGAGAATGAGAAAATCTTTGTGGCCTTTTATATACGCTACACGCCACTTGCTTTTTTTGGAGTGGCTTCCAGTTTGGTTGATAGCCATCAAAACAATTCACTTTAAAATAAATCAGACGTAAGAGCTCAAAACTCAGCTGATTAAGGTCATTCTGAAAGCAGAAGTCCTGCTAAGCTTTCTGGTTTGGTTTTCTATCCAAGTCTGCATATTGCAGTTGCTATAATTAATTATAAGATATTACTACATCTGGTTGTATCTCAGTTTTGACATGAATGAAAAATAATGTCCTTGTGACCACACAAATTACAGAACACTGTTTTGCATTAGTGATGCAATTCCACAAAAATGCATAGGACATTTATACACATACGAAAACTATTCCCTGCACCAATGTACAGTGAGAAAACTCAGAGGGATCAAACAATACATGGTTCAATACACCTCACTGATATATATTTCCTGAACTTCACAAGATGATGAGCTACTGTTAAAGGGGGGACTGATGTCAAGGTAGAAAGTGTCAAGTAATGGAAAGTGGAGTAATGGAAAAGAAAAATGATCCTATCAGCTTATTTCTGCAGAAAAGGTCTGAGGAAAATTGTTGCAGGAAATCACAACAGGCAAACAGTAAACACAATTGCAGGAAAAGATAAGGGGAGAGAAAAAAAAGTCAATAAGCAGTCAAAACAATTTGATGATGTAGTTTACATGGGTTTAAAATAAGAAATTAGATGACACTCTGCTTTTGAAATCTGGCACTGGATTATTTGAGAATTAAAATTCCTACGGTATCACAAAAATACAACTAAACAGGCAATCAGCATTACCCCTGCTTCTGCCAAGCCTTGTACGATGGGAATAGTAGGACTCTGTAAAAACCAAGAGAACTGTCGTGAAAAATCTTAGCCTGAGTGATGCCAGGTAATCAGAGGGCGGGCAGAGATACGTTTAGGTCTGTGATCTCCCTGTTCATTTTTGTTGTTGTTGTTGTTGTTGTTTTTGTTGGGTTTTTTTTGTTCCCTGTGCAATTGTTCTCATGTAATAACAATACCATATTAGGAGCGGGTCTGTGAGCATGAGCAGCAGATGCAAAGATGAGAACATGATTTTTGAATAAAAACTAAAAAAGAAAAAACAAATGTAAAGGAAAGGAAAAAATGGTATGCTGAATAGAAGAGAGGTTACAGGAAAGATAAGGAAGCTGACAGAGATCAAATAACAGAAAAATACAAATTTAATGACCAAGATTAAACAACAGGACTCTGGTTCTGAACTCACTGCTTCTTTTAAAGTTACAGGATCTGTCTAAAAGGAGTTATTGCAGCACTCACACTCAGTTATCTAGGAGTTTGATAGCAGCAAGTTTTGGAAAGGACACTGAACTCAAGCACAGGATGCTTTAAAAACTGAACACATCTGGAGGCACAGAGACAACGAGGGATAGATGTGTCCCAGCTTAAGTACCTTCCAAGGTTAGGCATTTGTTTGTAACAGAGCCAAAGGCTGAAGCATGCCCACTCCCACACCAACCTGTAACCAGAAGCAGATTAAAAGTATGAACTTCCCTCTGCGCCGGAGCTCAAATGTCTGATTCCAAAGTTTGCTCTGGTCCACTTTGGACAGGAGAGTGGCTACTCAATTTTGTGCCATCAGAGGACAGCAGAAAAGGGTACACACGCAGGGCAGAGGGCTCACCAACCTGAAAACGATAGAATGTCCCATCATCTTTCAGGGTAAGGACATGGTCTGAGATTGGAAACACATAACCCTGTGCAGCGATAAGACTTCCCAAGTGTATTGCTTCCCCTGTTAAAGAGTAGAAAAAGAGAGAAAAAAGAGGAGATGTGTCAGGATGATGTGCTCTGCACAACCCTCTGCTTTCAGCAGCGGGGCTGCGGATGAGTCACACCGTGACCTCACGTGCATAAGCCATGTTTCAATCACATTTCATCCATACGCCTTCCAATGAAATCATGCAAAGCAGGAGAGCAGAAAGCAGCCTTAAAATATAGATGAAACTCCCTAGATGCAGCCCTCGCCACTACAGCAGCTGTGGAGGGACTTTTTATAGGGGCATGTAGCTACAGGACTAGGGGAAATGGCTTTAAACTGGGAGATAATAGATTTTGACTAGATATCAGGAAGAAATTCTTTACTGTGAGAGTGGTGAGACACTGGAACAGATTGCCCGGTGAGATTGTGCATGCCTCCTCTCTGGAGGCTTTCAAGGCCACGCTGGATGGGGCTTTGTGCAACCCGGTCTAGAGGGAGGTGTCCCTGTTTCTAACAGGGGGGTTAAAACTACATGATCTTAAAGATCCCTTCCAACCCAAACCATTCTATGAGTTTACGATTTGCACAGATTTTCAACGGATGTCAACTGTCAAAAGTTGCATCTACTGTCTCAGACTTGCAAAATACACATTAGATTATCACATGTGCCCAGGCAGATAATAAATCCATTGTCTGCAGCTGAAATTCAGGTTTGGACTTGACTGGACTCACGAGAAGAGATGTGTGTAGAAAATTGTCCTGGGTGAGTCGATGTTACCTCTACTCCTGTTTTTACATAGTGACAGCAGAAGCAGACTGCAAAATGAAATGTTGACTTTTTTTTTCTTTACAGGAAAGCAAAAGAAACTTCTGGGCCTGAACAAGGCCTTTTTTTCCCCCATAGTTCTCAACTGTGTGAAAGGTGATTTTGGTTTCTCTGAAGTGTGAACTATTTGGACTGTGCCCAAACACTGATCACAGTTTATGGCTCATTGTCCATTTATCTAGCTGCCACGATAAATCACCATCTGATCCCATACTGGTGTCTGTATCATCGTTGGCCACCATGTCCTGTCATTTGTGGCTACCCTTCTCCACACCAGGGAGTCCTGTCACTACCTTCACCCATTTAATCACCTGTCTCCCAACTTCCTTTATGGGTCTGGGAACAGCCTTAGAATACATCAGGCTTTCTTAGGTAGTAACAATTTCACAGACACACTAGGACTCCTACAGAGTGCTTTCTGTGCACCGTAGTTGTAAGATATTAGACTTAATTATGTTGCTGATTCTTATCTGCTTTCCTCCTTCCCACCAAATACTTAAATCAACCTTGTTGTTCTACTGCTTTACACTCTGCAGTGAAGTAGAACATACTCTTTTGTGGCACACACGCAATATAGCTGAAATGTCTGTTAATTCCCAGCCATGGTTCACCTTACCTTGATCCTCAATGCTGAGATTCTTCATAAGCCACTGCACAATATCAGCACCTGCAAAATAAAATCAATAAATAAGTGGGAAAAAAGAAGGCATTGAACACTGAGACCAAGAAGTTTTTGAGAGTCCTACGGAAAGATAATGAGATGAGATACAAAAGAATTTATAAGCATTTATTATCCATTTTCCTTTTAATCTCTCCCAAGGTTTCAAATTGTTTTTGCTTCCTGTGTCACACTGTAATTATATACTCACTGGTAGGTACTAAGTCCAAGCGCCAGAGGAGACTTCCCACACTCTAAGTCAAATGCTACTCTAATAGTTTCAGGTAACTTCTTCTCTCCCAGTTGCGTTTCTCCCACCTTAGCATGTAGAATATATCTTTGACATGGTCCCCCACCACATCCTTATCTCCAAATTGGAGGGGTGTGAATTTGAAGGGAGGACCACCTGATGGATAAGAAATTGGTTGAAAGGCCACAGACAGAGGGTGGTCATGAATGGCTCTTTGTCCAGGTGGAGGCTGGTCCCCCAGGGATCTGTCTTGGGACCGGTGGTCTTTAACATCTTTATCAATGACATTGACAATGGAATCAAGTGCACCCTCAGCAACTTTGCTGATGACACCAAGCTGAGTGGTGCAGTTGACATGGTGGAAGGAAGGGATGCCATTCAGAGGGACCTCAACAGACTTGAAAGGTGGGCCTGGGTGAACCTAATGAGGTTCAACACAGCAAAAAGCCAGGTTTTGCACTTGGGCCGGAGGAATCCGAGGCATCCATACAGACTGGAAGGAGCAGTCCTTGAGAGTAGCCCTGCAGAGAAGAACCTGGGGGTCCTGATGGATGAAAAACTTAACATGAGTCAGCAGTGTGCCCTTGCGGCTCAGAAGGCAAATGGTATCCTGGGCTCCATCAGAAGAGGGGTGGCCAGCAGGGACAAGGAGGTGATTGTCCCTCTCTACTCTGCTCTTGTGAGGCCCCATCTGGAGTACTGCATCCAAGTGTGGAGCCCTCAGTACAAGAAAGACAGGGAGCTGTTGGAGAGGGTCCAGAAGAGAGCCACAGAGATGATCAGGAGGCTGGGCTTGTTCAGCCTGGAGAAAAGAAGGCTGTAGGGTGACCTCATTGCAGCCTTTCAATACCTAAAGGGAGCCTACAAACAGGAGGAGAATCAAACTCTTTGAAAGGATAGATAACTGCAGGACAAGGGGAAATGGCTTGAAGTTGAAGGAGGGAAGATTTAGGTTGGATGTCAGGGGGAAGTTCTTTACTATGAATGGTGAGGTGCTGGAACAGGCTGCCCAGAGAGGCTGTGGATGCCTCATCCCTAGAGGAGTTCAAGGCCAGGTTGTATGGGGCCCTGGGCAACCTGGTCTAGCATTAAATGTATAGAGTGGTGGCCCTGCCTGTGGCAGGGAGATTCATGATCCTTGAGGTCCCTTCCAACCCAGGCCATTCTGTGATTCTGTGATACAGGGAGTTCTGTTTCTGAAAGTACTATCCAGCAAGGAGATGAAGGACCATTTATTGGCACCTGGCACTTTAATGTCAGAGCAATCATACAGAAACGTGGAACTGAGTTATCAGCCAAACAAAGAGAACTAAAAGTCTAGTTTCCCTTCTTTGTCCTCTGGCACTCAGGGACTCAGCTGACCCACAATCAGTCATACAACAGAACCCAAATAAAACACCTTTTGACTAATTTACAGCCTTACAAATTTCAGAGTCCTAGCTGAGTACTGCTTTAGCTCATTTCTGCATACCCTGCTTAAGCTAAGTGTGCATATACATTAAATAGGCAAGAAACTGGCAATCTTTTCACAAGAGTTACTGTACATAGTTGAACATCAGAATGCATTGACTCTCACCCATAAAATGTGGCACTTTATTCTCTAGTGTAATAAGCCACATTTTTAGTGAGCCCTGATTTGGCCACAGACAACATTCTGTACATTCAGTACACGGGATGCTTGCTTGGGATTTTACTAGCAGACACAATGCTAGCTGAAAAATACATAGGAAAATGTTTGGGAGTCCATAACTGTTGTTTTGACATGCTTGTTAATAAAACTTTCAATTTTATAAACACGGATGCTGCCTTCTGCAAAACAAAAATAGCCTAAAGGTATAACAAACACTTGGGGTTAGAAAATCATTTCAAGAAGGCTGAAATCGAAGCCTTCTGTATCTCTGGAAACAAAACATCACAATTTGCTGTCTTGGCTCAAGGTAAACCAGAATCATCCTTGGTTTGTTTTGTTGGTTTTTTTTCTGTTTGTATCCCAAACCAAAAAGTCCACTAGTTTCCCTGATTTTGGTCTCAGACTACAGGTCTGCAGTACTCTCTTAGTCATTTCATTCCCAATTGATGTGACAGCTCATATCTGAACATCTTTTAGAGTAGTTAGTTCATTGTCTTGCTGAAGGGAGGTGAAGTGCATTCCAATCAATCCCTTTCCAAATATACAGGATACTTAACACAAGATTAACTCTCCATAGAATGATCATATTCTACTTGAATTTATTCAATTTTAATCAAACTGCAATCAAACATTCAAACAACGCTGAAAGCTGTTTCACCAATCTTTCTTCTTACTTTTAAGATTAACAAATAAAGGTTTGACTCAGTCAGAACTACTGTGATCAGTCACTCCAGAATATAAGCAACATTAGAGATCAAGGATTTTAATTTGTCTCTTAAAAACATGAAGTCATTCTTGAATGTTGCCAAGAGCCTGGAAGATTTTATAGCTGTTCTCCAGTTGTCCTGAGGCAGACAGATTATCTTTCTGCTGAGTTTGCTGAACCATTATTTATCACCTGCCAAGACTGATTACTCACCCTCGGGACAATGACAAGTCTTTCCTTCCTCTGTTAATTACTGTCATCATTAATAGCCATGTCACTAATTAATATTCAATCATAATGAAAACTCTTCACTGCCATCTCCTACAACACCTTCAACTTTTAGGGTTAATCTCACATTGGCTTTGCTTTTCCTTGTGTCTGGTTCCATCCCTGCAACGTAGTTTTGCCTATCTATAAACTCTATGTCCTTTCTCAAATAAGAAATTAGATCTATACTTTTAAGGTGGTGGAGATGTAAGGGATTCAGTCACAAGAACCTCCGCTGTCAGATCAAAACACAGCTGCTTTATCTGTAAATTTTCATGAAAATTTCTTCTTAATCTCTCCTGTAGATTAGGCCTGACTGAATCTCCACATAATTCACCTTCCCAAAAAGATCATCTTTGGCTGATTTTCACATTCCACATTTCACGAGTGCTCCCAGAGGACACCCAAGAGAAACCCTCAACCATGACACATTTCCACTAAATACTAACGGGACATTTGAGATCTTCTGAAAACAGATGGTTTTCACAGTGTAAAGTATTGCTGGATCTAGGTAGAGGAATGTTTCGCATATCCTCTGTGCTGTTCGCTAGGTATTCTGTGTTTTCTCCAAATCTGTATGCTTAGTTCAAGGTTAATCAACAGTCTGAGAACATCTATTTCCTACCCACCTGTTAGAAAATTTATTCTCGTTGCTTTAGGCTTTTCTTTGAAGCTGAGGTAGATGAAGTTGCTTAACACCAAAAGAATAGTTATCACCTTATGCTCAAACAGATTCACAATGACCATTTTCTCCACCTACCTGCTTTTGAGACAGAGTAGCAGTTTTATATTTCCTGCTATTTTCTCCTTTTCTGTTCAGCCTCAGTGATCCCATAATAGTAGCTAGTGTTCTCAGAAGGCCATTGCCTGTCAACATGACAAACGACTGGCCAGCCATAGAAAAATAAATTAAAAAAAACTTCACGTGGTGTGAGGCTATTGGCAAGATGCAGTTAATGAGGTGAGTCACCACCACTGTAATCGATACCTTTCCTACTCAACCTAAATTGTTCTAGCTCTTCCAGAAAATCCAGGGCTTACATAGAAAATGTAGACCCACTCATAATCAGATTTGTCCATCTTCTACTGATCATGTGAAACAGCAGAAGAACCCAGAATGATGAACCCTTCTCCAGCAGTTTCTAAAGATTTTTTGCTTGGAGTGGAGATTGCTCCTCTGGGTAAAGAACTATTATGGAATATTTGTCATAAATACACACCTACAGCAACAGACATATGGACATATGATTTCTTGGTTATTTGCTCACTATTTTTTCCAATGCTAGCGGAACCCTAATGCTCTCCAAATATATTTAGATGTTTGTTTGTTTTTTTTTTATTATTATTTAAAAAAAAAAGAACATGAAAAAATGTGAAATCTTCAGATTCTTCCTGTATAATATCTACACAATCTATGACACACTAGATGAGCAAACAAACTGCATGCCTCTGGTATCAATCATCTACAAACTCAAGGTTCAGATAATATTTCGATGCAAGGCTAAAAAGGTGTTCTTTCTGTCACTTCCTTTTTGAAAATAGATGAGCCCATTTTAACACCAATTTTTGCAAACGATTTGCTCCTGAACACAGATCAATCCTAAATTATTCCCAGCAAAAAAGTGAGACTGAAGAAGTTCATGAGCAGTCAAGTAGGCATAGAAGGATACCTGCCCAGGTACATGAGCAGTCCCTCAAGTCCCTGCTTTCTACTCTACCAGCTGTGGCAGTCACACCAACAAATGGTATGCTGATTTTTAATTTTTTTTCTCCCTCCAACAGCACAAAGTCCTTGTAAGTCTACAAACAAAAAGCTAATTAATTATCCACACTTTCATCACTGGGTTTGCAAAAATAAACAAAGAAGCATCACCCACGGTAAAGGGCAAAACAATTTCATATGAAATTTCTCAAGGTCTTTAGCACTCTTTGCTGCTATTTTTATCACACAGAGCCCCAGTCACTGCCACAGTTTCTTCATGTTTTACGATACTGGAATTTAAAAAAAAAAATAATAAAAAAGAAAGAAATATCTGGTTCTTTTCATAATATTGTGTTAAAAATACCGAGGAAGCACTTTATAGAAGCTGCCTATGATACACACACAACTGCGTACTGATGTAAAACAGGCAATGCTCTGCAGCTGACTCAGAAAA